CACCCCTTCCGTCGTCACTCGCTGACCCCCACCATCACTCACTTTCACCGAGATGGGGCGGGGGTTTGGAATGCGGGAGTGGGTTGGGATGCAGGAGTGAGGGGTGCAAACTCTGGGAAGGAGTTGAGGTGCAGGGGGGGGCTCCAGGCTGGGGCAGAGGGATGGGCTGTGGGGTCTAGGAGGGAATTTGGTGCAAGATGCAGGCTCCGGTATGGAGGCGCTTACCACAGGCCCTACGCCATTCCTGGAAGCGGCTGTTTGCTGGTACGTCTCTGCAGGCCCTGAGGAGGAGGGGGCAGCGGGTCTCTGTGCACTCCCCACAAGCCGTGAGGACAGTGAAGGGCGTGGGGGCAGTGCACAGAGCATCCTCAAACCCTCTCGCCGCAGGGCCACAGAGACGTGACAGCAGCCGTCCACTTCCAGGAGAGCCTTGGGGCCGGAGCAGGTAGGCAGCCTGCCCGGGTACCCTGCTGCACCACTGGATTTTTAGCAGCCAGAGAATGCGATCAGCTGGCAAAGGCTCCAGGATCAACCAGCTGATTGCGATTGACCTGCTGGTGACCACTGGTATAGATACTGAGTAGACTGTTCCAACTGTCGGGTCCCATAGCGGACAGCTCACAGCCCCACCAGTGGCCGCAGGTGGCGGGGCTCTGGGCTGTCAGTGCCCCACACCAATTGGCACAAGACATGCACTGAGAGGCGCATTATATATTAAAATCAATGTGGTGGCTGTATGCCAACTTACTTAATTTTGTAGTGGAGTTGCACCCCGAGAGTCCGCCACAGCCACTGGGAAGTTGTTCCCGGGGTTTATTCCTCTCACTGTTACAAATTGGCATCTCGTTTCCAGTTTGAATTTATCTTGTTTTAGCTTCCAGCCACTGGATCTGGTAGCGCTTGGATTGAAGAACACATTATCAAATGTCTCTTCCCCTGTGGGTCCTTACAGATGGGGACAAAGTCACACCTTGTGTGAAAGCTACAAACTAGCTTGTTCACACTACATTTTCTGTAGGTATTAGCTGCAACACGGTAAGAACACACCATTTTCAGGTTGGTGGGTTTTTTTTTTCTGTGAAGACAAGTCCTTCTATATCGCACTTGCTGCTTAATTATAATTCCCCTTCTGATCAGATCAGGGAGCAATTAACAAGCTGAGGCTATCTTAGTGTGTCGGCTTGACTCTGTTTCAAGCGATCTTCTCCCGACACTGGCTCGTCTCTCTTTGATCGCTCAGCGCGGGTGTTCTTGCAGAGAAAGTAGGTCATAAGTCTTGTCTAGTGCGGCTCCGTAGGGAGGAGAAGGGGCAGAGTTTTTGTGCTGTCAGCTGTGTGTCGAGCGGTGTGCTCTGCTGTGTACTCAAAATGGATTTCACAGCCCAGTGGCAAGGCGTCAAATAAAAGAGCTAAGTGGGGAAAAGACTCAGTGCTGTTACTTGTGCCAGTAAGAAGGGCCATAGCCAGAGCAAAGCAAGACCCTTTTAGGTAGGGGCTGGCGGGGGCTGGTGGAGGGGGTTGGAACAGGCAGTGTTATCTCACAAAGTAAGGCTTTGGATTGAGAGTCAGGACACCTGGATTCTATTTCCTGCTCTGCTGCTGACCTTGGACATGTCCTGTTGCCCCTCCGTGCCTCAGTTTCCCCATCATAATCCTTCCTTTGTCTGTCATCTCTGTTAGATTATGAGCTCTTTGAGGCAGGGGCTGTTTCTCTCAGAATGTCTCTGCTGTGCACATCTTTATCCCCAATTTCTGTTTGGGGTATGACAGCACCCTGCCTGCTAGTGGCCCTGGTGTTGGTCAGTCTGCAACTCTCAGCCCAGTGCAGGTACTGATGTCGCTTGGAATTGGGGCAGCACCTGGTCTGACAGGGGCCCCAATCTCTGTGTCTGCTACTGCAATGCAAATGATAAAAATATTTGATGCCCAACTTGATTCCCTTTAAATGGACAAGTTTGTCTTATAATGCTGACAACTGTAGAGGTCAAACCAAGATTGGGGCCCCCACTGTAACAGATGCTGCACCGACCCGCAAATACATTCTCTGCCTCAAACAGTGTACAATGGGAAACTGAGGCACAGAGTGGTGAAGGGACTTGCAGAGGGTCATACTTGCAGAGGTGAAGGGACTTGCCGAGGGCTGGAACAGAGCCAGGAATAGAACCCAGGAGTCTTGACTCCTAGCCTGTCCTGCTGTAACCACTAGATCCCACTTCCCAAATGCTGGAAATTGTGGCATGAAGGGCTGTGCCTTTAAGGGTTGAGAGTCCCAGGCAGAGTGTGGGTGAACACTGTGTTTATGCACATCCAGCTGAAACCAGACACAGAATAATGCTGTTTTCTTGCAAGCTCCTGAAGCACGGAGCGATCGCTGACTCCCATCCACCCACATTAACCCACTAGACCCCACTCCCCTCCCAGAGCTGGGAGCAGAACTCACAAGTATTGACTCCCCTGAGCCCCGCTCTAACCACTAGACTCCATTTCCCCTCCCAGAGCTGGGGATAGAACCAGAAGTCCTAACTGCCAGCCCCATGTCACTTAACCCCACTGACCTGTAGTCCCAATCTGTCTACTCCCAAACTGTCCCTTGCTGATTTTACCATGTGATATTTGGGAGAGAAGGGGGGCAGATTCCAGTTTGTGTGGAAAGCAGGACTGCTCCCTCTTAGTGTTTTCTATTCCCCGGTCTTTCCTTACCGCCCAGTGAAGCTCTGTTTTTTCCTGTTGTAAACACGTATGTTGGAGAACCGCAGCTGCCTAAAACGGGGATTAAGCTTTCTGCAGGAAGCCTTCATGCAGCCGTGTCCCAAGTGTGGCCCTTAACCCTGAGACATTAGCACTGCGCCTGGGCATTCGATTCCTGATTGGCTTATTCGCGCTGGTGCTCAAGTCTGCCCACATGCCCCGTAGACTCTCCCCTCCAAATGGGTAGCACCTTTCAGAGCCCTGTGGATGCAACTAACAGGGTGAGAGAGAAGAGCCAAATGTTTCCCTTTGCTGAGGGCTGTGATTATTCAGTGCACTGTCTGCCACTATCTAATTCTGCAGGCAAATGTTCCTAGTATATTTATCATACCGAGATGTTGCCAGCTGGCTGAGAACAATAGCAGATGTGTTCGGGCCAGTCGGGTTATGAGTGCTATTTATTATTTATATCCAGTGGTCCTGAGATCCCAGTGAGGACTGGGGTTCCATGGTGCTAGATGTGCAGACACCGGATGGCAGGCAGTTCCTTGATTACTAGCTGTTTTACAGTAGTATCTAAAGACCCCAGCTTTGATCAGGGCCTCACTGTGCCAGCTGTGGCACTGACCCCACCCAAAATTGGGGCTCCCATCATGCTGGGTGCTGCACAGATGCTTAGTGAGCAAAGCTGTAGACTGAAAAAAGAGAAAGGAAGGATTCTGTGGTGGGAAGGGAGGTAGAAACTGAGGCACAAGGTAAATGAAGTGACTTGCCTGAGGTCCCACGGAGAGTCTGGGACAGAGGCAGGAACTGACCCAAGATCCCCTGAGTCTCAGGCTGAGATCTTAACCACAAGACAACCCACCCCTGCTCTAACCCACTACATCCCCCAAACTGCCTAGGCATCCTGGCTCAGCCTCTTGCTCCAACCACTGGACCCCACTCCACTCTCCAAGCTGAAAACAGAAACCTGCAGTCTCCACTTAAGTGCCTTATCCACTAGCCCTCACCACCTCTCCCTCAGTGCATTGATTCCCTGCACCCTCTGAGAATGTCCTTCCCTAAGGCATTAGGCCTCCAGGCAGGCTCATGAGGGAGCGATGAAATGCACCTTCCATAATCTGACTCCTACCCACCTCCCAGGCAAGTGTGTTTACTTGTTGAGCAATCGCTATCAAAGTGCAGGCAGATTTCCCAGCCCACCAGCTTGGCATCACTCCCGGGGGGCTAGCACAGCACTGTGGCTTGTGTATAAAGACACAGGAGATCCAGCCAGGGCAGGGGTTGCCTTGACTTCACTTCTTCTGCAGAGAACTTCGCAGTGGGTACCCTTCCTGGTTCTGATTTGGGGACGAGCAGCCTGGACTATGCCACGAATCCCTGCCTCTTTCTGAATTGGACAGTTGCCTCTGGGACACGCGACAGGGAACAGGACCAGCATGGTCAGTGGTTAGAACACCTGGGTGCCACACAGGGGTGTGGGTCTAGTCCTGGTTTAAGGAGGTGGAGCATGAGCTAGGGGTTACAAGAGTCAATGCTCCTGTGTTTTCGTCCTGGCCTTGGAAGGGGATTGGGGTCTGGTGGGATATTACAGGAGAACTGGGGTTTAGTACCTGCCCCATCCACACCTGTTGTGTGACCTCAGGGAAATTCTATGCCCTTTCTCTGCTGATTTCCCTTCTCCCTCCAATGGGGATTCATAAGTGCTTCAGTGATAGGCCCTGCCTGGGAATCAGGATGCCTGGATTCTAGGCCTGTCTTGGGAAGGAGTCGGGTGGATGTGGGGTTTAAACGCATTTAGATTCTGTTTCTGGTGCTGCTCCTCAGCTGTTGTGTGACCTTAGACAAATGGCTTTCTTTTGCTGTGCCTCAGTTTCCCCTCTTCCCCTGTGGTGTATAGCAACAGGTTGTGAACTTTTTAGTGGTGCTCACTGTGCAATGTTATTTAAAAGCTGCTGAATCCACCCTGAGCAATAATGTGTGTGGCGCTAGACCCCGCATGCGTGTATGTGTCATGAGTGATCTTGGGTATTTGGGAGCCAGCTCTGCTCCTGATTTCTTCATATTGTTATTATCTAGAGAACAAAAAGGCACCAAACACCCTTTGTGTATTTAGCCTTTGAGCTGTTCCCAGCAGGGACTGTCTGGCACTGGGGTCTGTGCAGTACCTGGCCCTAGAAGGGCCCTGATGTCATTCAGAGTCTGTCCAGCTGTTGGCACAGTGGGGGCCCTGATATCAGTTGGAGCCAGTGCAGGGCTTGGCACGGTGGAGCTGTGATCCCTGGGATTATGCGGCGCGCAGCACTTTATTGTAGATACCAGAGCAATGGAAGGAGTTCTTGCTTTAGTAAATGCCCCTGCCTGAGAGACGGTAGCTAGGTCAGCAGTAGAATTCATAGCCCTGGTCTGCACTAGGATCTTACTTCGAAATTCCCCCCCTCCCCGCCCCCGGTTGAATTTATAAGCAGTGCGACCACACTACCAAGCCCGTTTTTTCGAAGTAATGGGCCATGGAATTGAAACTCTGTACTTCTGCTTTTCATCAGGAGTAACGCTAATTCCAAATTAGTAATTTTGAAATAACGGTAGTGTGGACATTCCAGTGCTGCTAATTTGACCTAATCACGCCCCAGTGCTTCCTGGGGCTCTAAGTCCATGGTAGCGCATCCACATTAAAGGAGCCTGCCTGAGACTAATTTCAATGGTTTCCTGTAGTGAGGACACACTACTTTGAATTTGTTAAATTGGGAGTTCTTAAGTCGAATTTAGTAATTTCAAAATAGTTTCTGAGTGTAAACATGGCTATAGAGTTTAAGACTAGAAGGGACCAGCTCAGCTTAGGCTTCAGATATAGACCCGGCCTTAGGGTACATTTACACAGCAACATCAAAATAACTAGCATTTCGAAATAACTTAGTCCGCGTCTACATAGCAGGCAGTTATTTCAAAGTAATGTTGAAATACTGTCAAGCTGGAGGGCTTCTTACTCCAACCCCTGTAACCCTCATTGTACGAGGAGTACGGGAAGGCGGAGGAAGAGTGTTCTATCTCGAAATAAGTGCTGCGTAGAGGCTCCCAATTTTGAAATTACCTATTTTGAAATAAGCTATGCAGTTGATGTAGCTCAATTTGCCTAGCTTATTTGAAGTTAAGTCCTGCTGTGTAGACGCACCCTGAGATGTAATGCGAACTGGAGTGGGCCAGTCAGGGAATATTAAGTAGGAATTTGATGGTGGAGTCACCTCTGTATATAGATTCGTAGACTCCATGTAACCTTTATGGCCGCACAGTCTGATCGCTCAGGACTGCCCTAACTGATTCCTGGCTAAAGTAGTTAAATTAGAAACAGGGCCTGGCTTTGCTGCCACCAGACTGATGGCAAACTAGAGTGAGTTGTGTGGCTGGAGAAGCAGAGAGCCATCTGTGGGAACAGTGTTGAGCATGGGCTGGACTCAATTGGCAGCATGGGAGAGGCACAGAGCAGCTGGGACCAGGGCCCCTTTTTTGTCTGGTGTTGCACAGACAGGCAGTGAGAGAGAGTAGAAAGCTCATGATCAAACTAGACAAAGCTGGGGAGGAGAATAGAGGCATAGGTGAGGAGAGATTATGCCCAAGGCCAGTGGCAGAGCCAGGGGTAGGCTCAAGCCTCCTAAAGTACAGCACAGTGCTCTATTTAGTGCACCATGCATTGCTCTGAATGACTTTCCCTTGCAGTGGAATTACATTTTCCTTCTTGTTTGCATGTGGAGGTTAACACTCCATACCCAATTACCGTGCAGTCTGTTCCCCAGAATGTCCTGCATGGAAAATGTCAGTGTATTTCCAGCCAGCTGCTGGTGAGCTAAAGGGAGCCTTTGAGCTGATAATTTTATACCAACCTTGCATTTGGCTCAAAGTTCTGTTTACCTGCTTTTTATTTGCGTTCCTTTGCTCAGCTTCCTGCTGCTGTTCAGTTCCATTAGTTTTCAATGATCTTCATTCCTGTAAAGTTGCATCTACGCTTGGAAAAAAAAAAGATGCAGAATTTCATAGATGGCAACATCTGAATGTGGAAAAACTCAGGCCAGTCAAACAAAAAAAAAAAGATGCAGAATTTCATAGGTGGCAACATCTCAATGTGGAAAAACTCAGGCCAGTCAAACATTTTTTTTTGTCAAGATTGTTTTTGATAGAAAATTGGGTTTTTGGACAAAGAAAATGTGCAAAAATTGAAATATTGATTTTGGAAATACCATCACAGTGCCTTATTTAGAGTTGTAGTTTGATAGTGCTAACTGATGGCAAACTAGAGTGAGTTGTGTGGCTGGAGAAGCAGAGAGCCATCTGTGGGAACAGTGTTGAGCATGGGCTGGACTCAATTGGCAGCATGGGAGAGGCACAGAGCAGCTGGGACCAGGGCCCCTTTTTTGTCTGGTGTTGCACAGACAGGCAGTGAGAGAGAGTAGAAAGCTCATGATCAAACTAGACAAAGCTGGGGAGGAGAATAGAGGCATAGGTGAGGAGAGATTATGCCCAAGGCCAGTGGCAGAGCCAGGGGTAGGCTCAAGCCTCCTAAAGTACAGCACAGTGCTCTATTTAGTGCACCATGCATTGCTCTGAATGACTTTCCCTTGCAGTGGAATTACATTTTCCTTCTTGTTTGCATGTGGAGGTTAACACTCCATACCCAATTACCATGCAGTCTGTTCCCCAGAATGTCCTGCATGGAAAATGTCAGTGTATTTCCAGCCAGCTGCTGGTGAGCTAAAGGGAGCCTTTGAGCTGATAATTTTATACCAACCTTGCATTTGGCTCAAAGTTCTGTTTACCTGCTTTTTATTTGCGTTCCTTTGCTCAGCTTCCTGCTGCTGTTCAGTTCCATTAGTTTTCAATGATCTTCATTCCTGTAAAGTTGCATCTACGCTTGGGAAAAAAAAGATGCAGAATTTCATAGATGGCAACATCTGAATGTGGAAAAACTCAGGCCAGTCAAACATTTTTTTCTGTCAAGATTGTTTTTGATAGAAAATTGGGTTTTTGGACAAAGAAAATGTGCAAAAATTGAAATATTGATTTTGGAAATACCATCACAGTGCCTTATTTAGAGTTGTAGTTTGAAGGCCTTATGCTCCCATTCTCTTATGAGACTCTATGGGTAGGAACTCCCCTGCCAGGTGCCACCTCCCCACTCCAAGAAGGGAGATTATGGTACATTGTGAGAGATGTAGTTTGACCAGGAAGTCTGGTTAACAGAGAAGAATGGGAGCATGACACAGGCAAACTACAACTCCCATGAGGCATTGTGGCAGCTCCACAAGAGGGAAGACCATTATGTGTCATGGTAAATGTAGTCTGGCCAAGGAACCCATCCTGTTGAATGAGAGGGTGAGGCTAGGGTTGCCAGGTGTCCGGTATTGACCCGGACAGTCTGGTATTTTCTCCTCCTGTCAGGTAAAAAAAAAATTCAGAAAATACCAGAAATGTAATATGTCCTGTATTTTCTGATTTTTTTTTTCCTGGCCAGGAGGCGAAAATACCGGATGCCGTTCAGGTTGGTGGGTTTTTTTTTTCTGTGAAGACAAGTCCTTCTATATCGCACTTGCTGCTTAATTATAATTCCCCTTCTGATCAGATCAGGGAGCAATTAACAAGCTGAGGCTATCTTAGTGTGTCGGCTTGACTCTGTTTCAAGCGATCTTCTCCCGACACTGGCTTGTCTCTCTTTGATCGCTCAGCGCGGGTGTTCTTGCAGAGAAAGTAGGTCATAAGTCTTGTCTAGTGCGGCTCCGTAGGGAGGAGAAGGGGCAGAGTTTTTGTGCTGTCAGCTGTGTGTCGAGCGGTGTGCTCTGCTGTGTACTCAAAATGGATTTCACAGCCCAGTGGCAAGGCGTCAAATAAAAGAGCTAAGTGGGGAAAAGACTCAGTGCTGTTACTTGTGCCAGTAAGAAGGGCCATAGCCAGAGCAAAGCAAGACCCTTTTAGGTAGGGGCTGGCGGGGGCTGGTGGAGGGGGTTGGAACAGGCAGTGTTATCTCACAAAGTAAGGCTTTGGATTGAGAGTCAGGACACCTGGATTCTATTTCCTGCTCTGCTGCTGACCTTGGACATGTCCTGTTGCCCCTCCGTGCCTCAGTTTCCCCATCATAATCCTTCCTTTGTCTGTCATCTCTGTTAGATTATGAGCTCTTTGAGGCAGGGGCTGTTTCTCTCAGAATGTCTCTGCTGTGCACATCTTTATCCCCAATTTCTGTTTGGGGTATGACAGCACCCTGCCTGCTAGTGGCCCTGGTGTTGGTCAGTCTGCAACTCTCAGCCCAGTGCAGGTACTGATGTCGCTTGGAATTGGGGCAGCACCTGGTCTGACAGGGGCCCCAATCTCTGTGTCTGCTACTGCAATGCAAATGATAAAAATATTTGATGCCCAACTTGATTCCCTTTAAATGGACAAGTTTGTCTTATAATGCTGACAACTGTAGAGGTCAAACCAAGATTGGGGCCCCCACTGTAACAGATGCTGCACCGACCCGCAAATACATTCTCTGCCTCAAACAGTGTACAATGGGAAACTGAGGCACAGAGTGGTGAAGGGACTTGCAGAGGGTCATACTTGCAGAGGTGAAGGGACTTGCCGAGGGCTGGAACAGAGCCAGGAATAGAACCCAGGAGTCTTGACTCCTAGCCTGTCCTGCTGTAACCACTAGATCCCACTTCCCAAATGCTGGAAATTGTGGCATGAAGGGCTGTGCCTTTAAGGGTTGAGAGTCCCAGGCAGAGTGTGGGTGAACACTGTGTTTATGCACATCCAGCTGAAACCAGACACAGAATAATGCTGTTTTCTTGCAAGCTCCTGAAGCACGGAGCGATCGCTGACTCCCATCCACCCACATTAACCCACTAGACCCCACTCCCCTCCCAGAGCTGGGAGCAGAACTCACAAGTATTGACTCCCCTGAGCCCCGCTCTAACCACTAGACTCCATTTCCCCTCCCAGAGCTGGGGATAGAACCAGAAGTCCTAACTGCCAGCCCCATGTCACTTAACCCCACTGACCTGTAGTCCCAATCTGTCTACTCCCAAACTGTCCCTTGCTGATTTTACCATGTGATATTTGGGAGAGAAGGGGGGCAGATTCCAGTTTGTGTGGAAAGCAGGACTGCGCCCTCTTAGTGTTTTCTATTCCCCGGTCTTTCCTTATCGCCCAGTGAAGCTCTGTTTTTTCCTGTTGTAAACACGTATGTTGGAGAACCGCAGCTGCCTAAAACGGGGATTAAGCTTTCTGCAGGAAGCCTTCATGCAGCCGTGTCCCAAGTGTGGCCCTTAACCCTGAGACATTAGCACTGCGCCTGGGCATTCGATTCCTGATTGGCTTATTCGCGCTGGTGCTCAAGTCTGCCCACATGCCCCGTAGACTCTCCCCTCCAAATGGGTAGCACCTTTCAGAGCCCTGTGGATGCAACTAACAGGGTGAGAGAGAAGAGCCAAATGTTTCCCTTTGCTGAGGGCTGTAATTATTCAGTGCACTGTCTGCCACTATCTAATTCTGCAGGCAAATGTTCCTAGTATATTTATCATACCGAGATGTTGCCAGCTGGCTGAGAACAATAGCAGATGTGTTCGGGCCAGTCGGGTTATGAGTGCTATTTATTATTTATATCCAGTGGTCCTGAGATCCCAGTGAGGACTGGGGTTCCATGGTGCTAGATGTGCAGACACCGGATGGCAGGCAGTTCCTTGATTACTAGCTGTTTTACAGTAGTATCTAAAGACCCCAGCTTTGATCAGGGCCTCACTGTGCCAGCTGTGGCACTGACCCCACCCAAAATTGGGGCTCCCATCATGCTGGGTGCTGCACAGATGCTTAGTGAGCAAAGCTGTAGACTGAAAAAAGAGAAAGGAAGGATTCTGTGGTGGGAAGGGAGGTAGAAACTGAGGCACAAGGTAAATGAAGTGACTTGCCTGAGGTCCCACGGAGAGTCTGGGACAGAGGCAGGAACTGACCCAAGATCCCCTGAGTCTCAGGCTGAGATCTTAACCACAAGACAACCCACCCCTGCTCTAACCCACTACATCCCCCAAACTGCCTAGGCATCCTGGCTCAGCCTCTTGCTCCAACCACTGGACCCCACTCCACTCTCCAAGCTGAAAACAGAAACCTGCAGTCTCCACTTAAGTGCCTTATCCACTAGCCCTCACCACCTCTCCCTCAGTGCATTGATTCCCTGCACCCTCTGAGAATGTCCTTCCCTAAGGCATTAGGCCTCCAGGCAGGCTCATGAGGGAGCGATGAAATGCACCTTCCATAATCTGACTCCTACCCACCTCCCAGGCAAGTGTGTTTACTTGTTGAGCAATCGCTATCAAAGTGCAGGCAGATTTCCCAGCCCACCAGCTTGGCATCACTCCCGGGGGGCTAGCACAGCACTGTGGCTTGTGTATAAAGACACAGGAGATCCAGCCAGGGCAGGGGTTGCCTTGACTTCACTTCTTCCGCAGAGAACTTCGCAGTAGGTACCCTTCCTGGTTCTGATTTGGGGACGAGCAGCCTGGACTATGCCACGAATCCCTGCCTCTTTCTGAATTGGACAGTTGCCTCTGGGACACGCGACAGGGAACAGGACCAGCATGGTCAGTGGTTAGAACACCTGGGTGCCACACAGGGGTGTGGGTCTAGTCCTGGTTTAAGGAGGTGGAGCATGAGCTAGGGGTTACAAGAGTCAATGCTCCTGTGTTTTCGTCCTGGCCTTGGAAGGGGATTGGGGTCTGGTGGGATATTACAGGAGAACTGGGGTTTAGTACCTGCCCCATCCACACCTGTTGTGTGACCTCAGGGAAATTCTATGCCCTTTCTCTGCTGATTTCCCTTCTCCCTCCAATGGGGATTCATAAGTGCTTCAGTGATAGGCCCTGCCTGGGAATCAGGATGCCTGGATTCTAGGCCTGTCTTGGGAAGGAGTCGGGTGGATGTGGGGTTTAAACGCATTTAGATTCTGTTTCTGGTGCTGCTCCTCAGCTGTTGTGTGACCTTA